AAATAAACACTTAATTATTTACACTGTAAATTACTTTAAGTGTTGTTTCCAAGATCTTATTAATCAAGCAAAGTATGGGATAAAATGCTAAGACCTTAAAATCTCTGGTTCCTATTAATCAAACATTTACTGCCTCCCAACAGTAAGTTAAACCTGATGCCATGTTACCCATTATTTGGGAAAGATGCAAACAACAGATTGGTTCAGCTTAGTCTGGTTGGTATCAGTCTGAAGTGATGTTACCTGTTTCCAATACCAATGGGAAAACAAGGAGCATTGTGAGTGGGGGTGGGGGCAGAATGAGGAAACCAAACTATTTTTCAGTTCTTACTAAGTTTCGTCTTCTCCATGTGGTTTCATTCATCTATGAAAAATGATATATTCCAAGACCACACATACCTATATTTACCCCTGTGACTCAAATGTCAGAGAGAAATTTTGGAGTGCTCCTCACCACTGCTCTTCTTCATAATAGAGGACATTTGATCTGATGTACTGTGTGTCCCCCACGTATGTAGCTCTGAAGGGACTACAGAGAACTTTTTCAGAGTAGAATTCTCTACTCAAAGAATTTCATCCTCTGCTGCTCCTCCCTCTTTCCCCACATTAGCATCACGTGTCTGGTTCCCCACCTTGTACTCCTGTGTAGCATCATCCAGTGGCACGACAGTGTGGGCCCGGTGGGTGTGGGAAATTGCGCATATCAAACATACAGCCTCCTGGTCTTCATAGCAAAAGAGGCTGAGGGCCTCATGGTGCTGGGGGCATAGGCTCTCATCCCGGATCTTCCGCTTGACAGCCTGTAGTTGCTTGGCAATTTCTACCATACTGCCTAGTTGCCGATTAGGCCGGAGACTGCGGTAGCGGGATGTTTTTCGACAGACAGGACAAGGGAAGTCTCTCTCTAGGTCCTCCCACCAGCGGGTGATGCAAGCTTTGCAGAAGTTGTGCCCACACTCAATGATGACAGGCTCCTTCAGATACTCCAGGCACACAGAGCAGCTTGCCTCTACCTGTAAGTTTTCCAGAGCCGCAGCTGTGGAGGCCGCAGAGGCCCCGGCCTCTAACAGACTTGTCTCTGCCATTATTTAACTAGGGGATGGTGAAAGGGAGAGAGAAAAGAAAAATATTAGTTGGAGCTTTAATTTTTTTGCTTCCTGGCCTGATATTTATCCCCATGTTAAACTCTAACTCCAGATTCAGCCCCATCTTGGTATTTTCTTATTTTCCTTCTTTTTAAAAAAAAGATGACTGGTAAGGGGATCTTAACTCTTGACTTGGTGTTGTCAGCACCACGCTCTCCTAAGTGAGCTAATCAGCCATCCCTATATAGGGATCTGAACCCGTGGCTTTCAGCAACCGCACTCTCCCAAATGAGACACGGGCCAGCCCTCCATCTTGGATTTTCCATCTTCTCCTCCACTATATTCAAACTCTTTGTTTCTCCATTTCCAAAACTTGAGATTCCCAGCCATCAACCTATTTTTTTTTCTTCATCAAACTGACACACAACCCCTGTCTCTCTTGTTTCTGCTTTATTTTGTTAGAAACAGAGGCCTCCTTCAACTCCAAGCCAGCATACTTCTGATCCAGGCTAATCCCACTTGTATCTTAGAATAGTTCCAGACCAATGTATGCTGGTTTAAAATGTTTTTCTAATAGATGAGAAAATAATTTGGGAAGTGAAAAGTGTCATAAAAGTCAAAGTGTTGGCCGGCTGGTTACTCAGTTGGTTAGTGGGTGGTGTTTTAACACCAAGGTCAAGAGTTTGGATCTCCATACCGGCCAGCTGCCAAAAAGAAAGTCAAATTGTTAAAATTTCCTAAATAAGGTATAAATTAAAGTGTAATGTTCCAGAGGAGTTTTATTATAATAGACCTTTAGAGCCTAAGCTTGATTCTCTGCCATTATTCTCTCACTCTTTCAAAGGGTAATAAATTAAATGAGTTAAGCAAAGATAACAACCTCCTCTTTTCAGGAAAATTGAAAATTATTCTTTCTTTTATCAGACTAGCCTAGAGGAAGTATGCCCTCTTCTTGGAATGAAATGAGTCACACACATCCCATTTCTATTTGTGTGCATTTGGATAACTGGAACTGCTGAAAAATGATAAATTCATGGCAACTATACTAAAGAGTATATCACTAAGCCCAGGCCAATAACTTCTTCAAAAGAGAGCTGGCAAGTCTATTCTAAATACTCAGCAGTGACTGGAATCTTTCAAAATAGCTATCTATAACAAATTGGACATACTGTGTCTCTAACTAATAGGTTCTGTAGTGGTTGGGATTTAAGAGAAAAAAAAGAGGCAATTAAATCTCCTTCAAGTGAAGCCTTAGAAGAATTGGAAATGCATGAGAGATGTATAACGCAGAAGGCTAGTCCTCCAATTCAATCCTTAAAATGTCAACTTTTATCCATGAATAAATTGATTTCTCTACTCCCATAATCCCTTCTCCCCTCCCCACTCACTCCCTCCACCTAAGGGACCCAACAGAAGGAAGGAGCTTTGGTAGGTCTATGTGCTGAGAAAGAAGTGGCCATGTAATGAGTTGGGTTGACAATGATTATTTCTGTAATATACTAATAGTACACATGAAAGTGTTTAATTTGAAGTAGGAGCTGATAACTTATTTGGACTTGAATTTCTTCCCTCAACATTAGAAGAGTTCAGTCAGATGGTTTTTCTCTACTTATGGTAATCCAACTTTCACTAGTGACCCTGCCCCCTCCCCAGTCTTCTAGAAATTAGGTGGCCTCCTCACCTGGGATGAGTTGAATTGTATGTACAGTTAGGGACCAGGATGCTTCTAGAGTGGCAAAGCGATGTGAAAGAGAAATGCGGAAAGGGTTAGGGGAAGAATGGAGAGGAATTGAGCTACCGCCACCGTGAGGCCTTGGGTGCCTCTGGGTTGGTCCTTCCTCTCCCCTGTATTCCTCGTGTCTTGTAGAATGACAAGCTTCAGGGATGTCCTCATTTTCTTTCTACCACTGTTTGGGGTCCCACCTTGCGACCCTCTCCTGAGCGTTGTCCACAACTCTGTCCCACCCCCGTCTCCATCTTCTTCCGCCACACCTAGGGCAGGGGGATTGGAGAAGGGGAGAGGAAACGTCGTGTTTGGTGGGGGAGGGAGGGACGCGTGTGCAGGTGAGGAAGAGGTGTGACGTGAAGGTGGGATGCCCTCCGCTATCACGCCGCGGAGACCGGCGGTGACCGCGTCAGAGTTCCACCCGGGGAGGCGAGCGGGAGCGGGACGGGGGACTGCGGGGTAGCCAAGCAACGCCGGACGCGCTGACGTCGCCGGGGCGGCAAAACGTCCGCCCGGGCCGAGGCGGGCGGAGGCAGCTGTGGTTACGTGTGGGGGGCCGGTGACGCAGTAGCGGAGCGCTGGGACGCGGCGTGCGGAGCCGGCCGGCGGGGGCAGGCCCTGGGCCCTGGCGCGGCGGCGAGACAGCACCTACCTTCCCGGCTTCGGGTCCGGGAGTGCGGGGCGCGGAGCCGCCGGAGCTCTGCCTCCCTCCTTCCTCCTCCCCTCGCCCCCGCCCCGCGGCACGACACACAATACTCGCCGGAAGCGGAAGCCGCGCCGAGGCTCGTGTCAGTGGAAGAGTCGGGTGTCGGCGGGCGGCCGTGACGGGGCCTAGCGGTGCCTGCGGAAGGAGGGGGACCGGAGGTGAGAAACAGCACTTGTCATCAAGAGCAAGAAGGAACCCGGAGGGGCAGGTGGTTGAGACGCCGGCGTCCAGGTGACCCGAAGAATCCTCTGGAGGAGGGTCGCGCATGCGCGCGGTGGAGCGCTGAAGCCCATTGCCCGCAGGGCACCGGACGGGCGACCATGCCGGCGAGGCTGTCGTGTTCGGGCTTTGGACCCGGGCTGCGGCCGGGCTCCGCCAGTCCCTAGTGTGGCTGGGAGTCGCCGAGGGCGGGGCAAGGGCGGGGTGTGGACTTT